GGCTTTTTTTAAATCTCTTCTTCTTCTGATTGGTTGTTTGTGTATAGGAAAGCCTCTGACTTTGTGTGTTGATTTTTCTATCCTGCTACCTTGCTAAACTGGTGGATGGTTTTGATTAGTTCCTCTGTGGAGCTTTTAGGGTTTTCCATATAAATTAACATATCTTCTGCAAATAAGGATAGTTTTACTTCTTTCCCTATTTGGATTCCTTGTCTGCCTCTAAGAACTACTTTTGCCACGTTGAGTCTCACCTACAGTATGTGGGAGTGTCTCTTTTGCCATATCCTCAGGAACCCCACACTATCATTTTTAAATTCTTTGCTGCCCAGTCTCAGTGTTCCAACTTGTATTTACTTAATTTCTAGTGAGATGAACCCTCTTGTTTAACTTGGCCATTTACATTCAAATATGGTGACTGGCCCATCCTGTGTGGCACTAGGCTGACAGGAGACCTTATTTGGTCACAGCTGGGGGAGAGCAGGGCGGAGGCCAGAGAGGCTGCTGCTTGTCCTCCAGGGCTCAGGGCAGTCCCCATGACACAGTCACCCAGAGCTGCCTGGCCCGAGGTCAGCTGTGCTGAGGTGTCGGCCCCCTCCAGGCTCATGTCTCCCCCTCCTGTTTGTTAAACAGAAGCACGCAGGAGCTGAGTGCTGACTTTATCATTTCCCTGCCCTTGCCTTTGGCTGTGCTGAAGTGCTGCTGATTAAATTATCCTGAAACCCCACAGGACCAGTGATTTCCTTGCAGGTATTTACCAGCCAGTGCCGCCTCCAGGAGATAGCTCTGCCACCGGGTGTCTGAGCAGGCACCCTCCTGGGGGTGGAGTGACCTGGAGGTTTCTTACAGCTCCTGACCCCCAGCACAGATTTGCAGCTCTGGAGAGAGTGGAAATGTACTACAGAGTCCATCTGGAAACCCACCATTCTATAAGTAGTCAGCACAGAGGAAGTAGTAATAAATAAAAAGAAGCGGGTGGGCTATGAGTTTTCCCACAGGGGCTTTGCTGACAACGCCCTGTCATGTTGGTGGCTTGCCTTCGGGCTCTACCGGTGTGGATTCTTTTTGCCTAGTTGGGGTGAGCAGAGTTGGGGGTACAGTTTAGGGAACTGGTATCCCTTGCCCAGTCATATGGCTGCTGCCTTCATTGTCCTGTCTGCTTTCATGGGCGCCGGAGGAGCCATCAGCATGGGCGGTCGGGTCAGCTGTGAGTGGCATGAGCCCGTGAGGCCCATGGGTGCCCAATTCTGACCCAGCAGACCCTCTTGCTTCCCTTTGTGTGGAGGGCCTGATTTGTGTCTGATGTGGTAGCTGAGCCACCGGGCTTTGAGTGAAACCAGAGCGTACC